GTGGTGAAGGCAGCTCAACGGGTTATTGGGTCTGAACTTCCAGAGCTGGACTCCATCTATGCTAGTCGGCTGAGACAGAAAGCTAACAGCATTATTGTGAACATGCATCATCCAGGACACAGTCTATTTGTTGCTTTGCCATCAGGCAAACGTTGAAGGACAATTACAGTGCACACAAACCGACTGAAGAACAGCTTCTTTCCCAGAGCTGTAGTCTCAGTTGTTCCATCACAACCCCACCCCCACACACTTAGACCATTGTAAACCTGGTTTCATGTAGACTTTTTAATTACTGCTCATACTTTACCATAACTACCTCATTTGCACTACAGCAATTGTTTATTGTTTATCATCCTAACTGTATATGAAGTTGAAGGGAAGAACTCAATGTGTTTACACTTTTTGCTCTCTTTTTAATTGATTGGGCATTCCTTTATTGCAATTATTTCTCTACTGTGCAGATTATTATTACTATTATTATTATTACAACTTTTAATTTGTGTACTTTCTTATATTTATATATGTATATCGCTGCTGCTTAAATGAGAGTTGCCAACTGAATTTCGTTGTTAATGTAAATTACAATGACAATAAAGTGTTTTCCATTTTCCAAAAGTCCAGTTTTATTCGGACTAACACAATAATTTGATTTTCTTAGTGTGCATGTAAACATACTGAGTGTTTCTGCAGCTCACCTTGAAATGAGTTCAGGATGGTGAATATGTAGAGCGCTGGTATCGTGAGGGGCCCGTAGCTGAGGAAGGCAAAGCCCCAGGTGATTCCCAGCAGGCAGCATAGTCCCATTATAGTAAATATATCAGCTCTTCCTGAGCCTGCCTTGGAAGTGCCTGCATTTTTGCCCATGAAATACACAAGCCTTCTCACAATGATGATGAAGATGGTGAAGGTGAACAGAAACACTAACGCATAATAGCCAATATTCACAATGTAATGGACTAAGATGTCCGTTATCCAGCACCTGAAATCACAAGAATAGCAAGTCCTCAGCACTTAAACGTAAGATGCAATACAGTAACATTACCATCAGTGGCATTATTTGCACTGATTTTCATAACAGTATTTAACTATGGTTTTAGAATTAGAAAAAGAAGAGTTACATTGTTACGTTACTACTTTGACCAAAGCTGGCAGTCTGTTGTCCATACTTTCCAAGGCACAAGAGGATTATGACGACCAAAGCAGGAAGTGCTGGCAAGAAGCAGAGGCATTACTGGCACCGACTGGATTCACCCAGACATGCATAACTGCATCATCACATCAGAAGCAGACAGAGAACTGGATACTCACCCCACCCAACAAAGCACATTTTGAGCACATAATGACTGATGTCCAATTTCAAAGCACCGACGAGGTGCAAGCAGAGGTGTAAGGCTTCAATGGCAAACCAGTTGAAGGTAGAGAGCAATGAGTAGTGCATGAATGCCCCCATGATCTTACAGCCTGTGAGATTGCCTAAAGAGGTGATCCATTCATTGGAAAGGAAGGTGAGGTCCAGCAGAAACATGGCGACAAAAAGGTTTATGAGGATTTTGGAAGCTGAATTGGACTTAGCTTTCCTACAAACAGAACAGAGTGGGCACGTCAGTTTTTTGTGCCCTGCTCTAAGCCTATGTATCAGTTACACAGTAACACTTTACTTGAGGGGGCACCCATAATGTAGTATTATGGTATTACTTAATTACCCACAAACCAAGTCTTAGTTACCTACAGATCTTATGTTCATTCATAATTAATGGATTGTGATGCATATTTTCTCCTAAGCAGTTACTATATTTGTTACTATATCTGTTAATTAATTCAGTAAATTCTTGTGAACTACTGAAGGAACAAGTAATGGATGATACAAGTGAACTATTGATCAGATTTCTTCATCATTTTTGAATCATGATGCATATTTTGTTCTTAAGTAACTATAATTGTTCATGATTTGTACCTCAGTGGTAACTGAGTTACTACTAAGTGTTTGTGCCCCCTTAAATGAAGTGTTACCACAGTGACTTTCACCCTCATTCTACCGACAGATATATATATTTGTCATCTCTCTGAAATTTTGCAATTAATATTATTTTGCTGTATTTGTCTCTCACAGTAAGTTCTTCTTTGGGGACCCCAGTTGGTAGGATGAGGGTTAATGAAGTAATGATATTGAAAGCCCTACCTTAAAATGAAGTGTGTGAACAGAGCAATACCCAGAAAGAACATCGACAAGCCGCAACCAATGTAGGAGATGTAGGTGAGAGTCTCCAGATTGGTCCTACTGATGTTCACGTTAGGATCAACCTGAGTGGGAAAATCAAATGGTTTTTGCCTATGTAGCTGTTTCTTTTCTACTTTACCCACTAGCACAGTCCACCATGGGCAACCCTAAATACAATTATTTTATCTGAGGCTTATTCTGTATATAATAAACCACAGGACTTCTATGCAGACGACACTCAACTTATCCTCTCTTTTCCACCCTCAGACACTCATATTTCCACTCAGATCTCTGCATGTCTGGGTGAAATCTCATCATGGATGGCAGCTCATCAGCTGAAACTCAACCCCAGCAAAACTGAGCTGCTGTTCATCCCAGCTGATTCATCCTCACATCGGATCTTGTGATCTCCCTGGGCAACTCTCTGATCTCTCCTTCAGTCACCACACGCAACTTTGGGGTGATCATGGACAATCACCTGTCCTTTTCCTCTCATATTGCTAATTCTTCTCACGCACGTTGATTGCTCCTCTTCAACATCAGAAGGATTTGTCCATTTCTCTCCTCACAGGTCACTCACGTATTTGTTCAATCCCTTGTCATCTCGAGACTAGACTACTGTAACTCACTCCTAGCTGATCTGCCTCTGAGCGCCATTCGTCCTCTGCAACTGATCCAGAATGCAGTTGCTTGACTCGTTTTCAACCTACCCAGGTTCTCCCACACCACATCATTGTTTCGCTCCTTCAGCTGGCTTTCTGTAGTTGCCCACATCAGATGCAAAACTTTGATACTCGCCTACAAACCCAAAAAAGGACCAGCACCCTCTTACCTAAAATAACTTATCTCACCCCACACTGCACCATGATCTCTCCGATCCTCCAGCACCGCTTGCTTGGTCCCGCCGTCTCTCAAGGTGCAAGGAAGACATGCATCTAGACTATTCTCTGTTTTGGCACCTAAGTGGTGTAATGAACTTCCCATAGTTGTCCGAACAGCTGAGTCAATGGGTCCCTTCAAATGATGACTAAAAACCTGCCTCTTTCGGAAATACTTGGATTAGCAGTTCCAGGATTATATTCTTTTTTTAAAAAATAATAATAATAAATTTGAAACAGTATTGCTTGCCAACAGAGTTTTTAGACAGAGTATTCTTAGCCCGGGTTCTATTGAACCAGTATTAGAATGTATTGACTGATGTAGACTTCAAAGGCATGTATGTAAGTCGCTCTGGCTAAGGGCATCTGCCAAATGCCGTAAATGTAAATGTAAATGACATTTCATGCCCCTGAAGCTGTTTTCCTGTGTTGCTTATTATCTTGAGATCCAGTGTAAAAAAATAATTTTGATTTAATAGGAAGAGGAAGTTGGCACGGTCATACCCCTATAAATGATGTCATCTTAAAGCCCTAATTAGAACAACAGGACTTAACAAAGTGGCATGCATAGTATGAGGGATATGAACAAAAACAAAATGCCCTTTATAGAGGACAAAAATGAAATGCTGGATCTCAGGAATAAATGCTTCAATGAAAAAGCCTTACCATGAGAATGGCAAAGAAGGTCAGGTGGCTACACAGGCATGTGATAGTGTTATTGTCTTCCAAAGTGTTGCATCCCTGTCTCGTCCAGTTGGGGTACTGACCTTCAAGTGAAAGTGCAGAAAACACTGTTTATTTCCTCATAATTCACCCCAAAGGGATGAATGCAAATTTTTCTGCAGCAAAAAGTTTGTTTTAATTATTTGAATGATTTATGTTAAACATGCCAATAACACATAATCTATTCGATGTCTCTTCTTGGATTGACATTACCTTCACCGTTCCATGAACTGCAAATCACCGTGAAACCATCCTGCATGAAAATAAAGTTTCAATTTTCATTTTCCACTCACAAGCATATTAACCCTGTTTGATAGTTTAACATAAGTTATATTGAGACACTGAAGGGTTCTGTCCTGGTCTTGTAACTTACCTTTTTGACGTTTCTGTAAGTAATGTTTATGTCAGTTGTGAGATTAGAAATCTCAGTTCCCATATCAATTGCAATAACCTCATTGTTTAAAACACTGGTATTTTTTGCATCCTGAAAGATCATAAAAATACACTCTTGAACAGATAGTTTACAATGATGAGATTTTGGTAACATGAGGAACTTCCAAAGTTTATTTACCTTAGTCATATTTGGAAACAGAAATACTCCCAGAAATGTCCTGTTTTGGTTTACCGATATTGCTTTGTTTATAGCTTCTTGAGGGACAGAAACGCTTCTTGGGCTTTTTTGCATTATTTCTTCATTATCAGACATCTACAAAACAGCACACGTTTGGTTTTTTTTACACCCATCTATGCACATCCTGCTGGACACATGAATTGTTATCAATTCATTATCAATTAGTTTAGTGCTTTGTTAAAGTATTCACACCATGCAAATACATTCAAATCTTACGGAATTTCTAAATATATAGAAAGCTCTATCTAAATTATACTTAAATTTTTATTTGGAGTATTTTTTTAACTATCAAAATCCAAAATACATTTCTTGCCTGCAGATTTTGAAAGCAAAGGTTAAAATTGAAAGACATGCGTCACGTAACCATGTGGATGCATTCTGAGAAATGCGTCATTACTCGATTGTGTGAACATCTTAGAGTGTATTTACACAAACCTAGCCTACTACACACCTAGGCTACAATAAACTTAAAGTACACTCTAAATAACGATTAAAGGGTACAGTTTAGTACAAGGGCGTAACTTTGGCTGGAACATTGGGGGGGTCGAGGTCTCCACCCATTACAGGGGAAACATGATTATTGGGGGGGTCATGACCCCCCTAACCCCCCTGGAAATTACGCCCATGGTTTAGTAAATACTAAACAAGTAACAAAGTTGTTTGTTATCACTGTCAAGTATTATGTACAGTACGTAATTGCATGTGCTATACTTTTACATGACTGGCAGTGCAGTAGGTTTGTTTACACCAGCATCACCACAAACAAGTGAACGATGCATTGCACTATGACATCAGAAGATGATAGGAATTTTCCAGCTCTGTTATAATCTTACGGGACCACCAGTCATATACGCATTCCGTCGTTGCTTGAAATGTCATTATGCGATGCATGACTGTAAGCTGCTTGAGTAGGTGTTTAGTCACTGTGAAGGGAACTGCAGAAACAACAATACCCTTTTGCCTTATCAGGGGCATGTGCCTATGTACCAGTAAAGAAACTGCCTCTTTTTACTGGAAATAAATTAGAACATAAGAAGAACATAAGAAATTTACAAACGAGAGGGGGCCATTCGGCCCATCAAGCTAGTTTGGGGAGAACTTAACTAATAGCTCAGAGTTGTTAAAATCTTATCTAGCTCTGATTTAAAGGAACCCAGGGTTTTAGCTTCTGCTACACTAGCAGGAAGACTATTCCATACTCTAACTACACGCTGTGTAAAGAAGTGCTTCCTCAAATTTGTTTTAAAATGTTCTCCCGCTAATTTCCACTTATGGCCACGAGTTCTAGTATTTAAACTAATACTGATATAGCCATTTGGCTGAACAGCATCCAGACCTGTTAGAATATTATAGACCTGGATCATGTCCCCCCTTAGTCTCCTTTGCTCAAGGCTAAACAGATTCAGCTCAGCTAACCTCTCCTCATAAGACATTCCTCTAAGACCAGGAATCATTCTCGTAGCCCTCTGTTGCACCTTTTCTAAGGCAGCAATGTCCTTCTTGAGGTATGGTGACCAAACCTGCACACAATATTCTAGGTGGGGTCTTTCCAAGGAATTATATAAATGTAACATCACCTCCCTTGACTTAAACTCCACACACCTAGAGATATAACCCAACATTCTATTGGCCTTTTTTATTGCTTCCCCACACTGGCGAGAGTGGGACATGGAAGCATCAACATACAGACCGAGATCTTTCTCGGAATCAGCTACCTTTATTTCAGTGGAACCCATAAAATATCTGTACTTTATATTTCTGCTCCCTGCATAGATTACCTTACATTTATCTGTGTTAAATTTCATCTGCCAAGTATCAGCCCAGTCGCTAATTAAATCCAGATCCTGTTGTAGCCTCTATGCTGCTAGATCAGTATCTGCTACACCACCTACCTTGGTGTCGTCTGCAAATTTAACCAGATTACTGTATGTATTGGTTTCAATATCATTAATGTAAATTAGGAACAATAGTGGTCCTAAAACTGAACTCTGCGGTACCCCACTATGAACACAGGCCCACTGTGACATTGTGCCTCTCATAACTACTCGCTGCTTCCTATCAGTTAACCAGTTTTTGATCCAAGCTGCCACAGTTCCTAAAATCCCTGCAGCTTTGAGCTCTAGCAAGAGCTGTTTGTGGAACTGCAGTATATTCTATGAATACGAAAAAAGCATGAAATGAAGCACCTCCACCTTCTAATCAAATATCTAAGGAAGGCTTGTATGGGCCCCTGGAGCATGTCCCAGGCAATACAGCACTCTGTCTTTGACCTGCAGTAGGGAACCCTGGAGAGAACATTCCAGCACCCAGCCCTGGAGACCTGGGGCGATAGTCCTCAATGGGAAAATATTTACCAATACGGAATCAGAGATTACAAAGGAAGTTCCTGGAAGAGTGTTCTTATCTTCTGGTTTCACCAGGATGCCTTTGGCTTCTCCTATTGTGATAGCTGCAGATGATTTACTTCCCATCATGGTCAACAGTTGCGTGAGGTTTTTCATAACCTGCCTGTAAGGGAAGAGCTATCATTCTGATGCATAATATGTGGCCTCATCTAGTGCTGACTGCCTTGACAGCAGTTTAGGCCATAGTCAAATTCAAAACATCATTATTGTCATTGTCATCATTGCATGAGATGAAATTATGGACTCGTAGGTCATAGTGCAAAAAAAAAAAAAAGAACAGTGATAAACAGAACATAAATATGAATATTAAAGACATATAACACTGACAATCTGAGGTAACGCTTTACTTGAAGCAGTCTACATAAGGGTGACATGTAACCGTCATAAGAATGACATGACACATGTCCTGCACATTAATGACACATTATTGATGTTTATGACTGTTGTCATAATGTGTTATTCAGTTCCAAAAATTATGACAACATAAACATCAATAATGTGTCATTAATGTGCATGACATGTGTCATGTCATTCTTATGACGGTTACATGTCACCCATATGTAGACTACTTCAAGTAAAGTGTTGCCCAATCGGACAATACTGAGACATGGACATAAGATAGTCAGAAAAATACAATCAAAAATACAGTTTAGAAACAGCAGGGAAAAAGTTGAGGAACAAAGATAGAAAACAAATCACTTACACAGCAACAGCTGCACTTATTCCTGATGTCCCGTTTCCCGCTTCAGGAAACGTAAAGTTCATTTGGGGATATTCTACAGTTTGACATTTTGCACATGTAATATATGGGGAGTGTGTAGTGCTTTGTACTGTGATGTTAATAACAAATCTTTTGTCTTCATCTGGAACAGAAGGATACATTTAAATCCGGTTTTAATACACACACACATGAATAGTGTCTTTCTCAGTGTCATACAGGTTTACTCTGGGTATGCTGGTTTCCACATGCCAAAGATATGCAGTTACGGGTCTCTAAGTTGACTATTAGTTATGATTGTACATGTTTGTGCCCTGTGCTGCCTAGGGGAGGCTCCAAGATCCCCACAGCCCTGCTTGGATTAAAAGATGGATGGATACATGTGCAGGAAGAATTTTGAAAATGTCCCTATATCTATTTTCACAAAAGGTAATGCATGTTTGTCCAAATTAACTGGGGAGGGATGCTAGGGACATTACCACATTGGGGGAATGCTAGGGACAGGACCCCCTTGGGGTGGAAAATAGGGACAGGACCATGTTGGGCTTACTCTAGGAACAGGACCCCATTGTGGGAACGCTAGGAACAGGACCCCATTGGGGATATGCCAGGGATGGGACCCCATTCCACTGAGTACTTGTAAGAAAAAATTTTGAACTCTGGACAGCACAGAATATCAATTCAGGGTTTCAATATGATGCAATGAGCAATGAATGAAACATTTATTTGTACAATTATGTGTTACTTACCTTTGCAAATATCTGCAACAAACTTTGCGGAGGTACATATTTCTACAGTGTTTAAGGTTATATTATAGGACCCATTTCCTTTGAAAATGAATATTCAAAAAGCAAGATTAGTTTTATAATTTTAAAAATGTTTTATCTTCAAGACTTCAAAAGAGTAATTTAATCATTTGAGTGCTGGCATGCAAACTAGAATTTGAATAATATTACACGTTTAATTCTTAATCCATATTAAATAATTAATAATTAAATCAACATAATTAATTAACATGAATTAACGATTACAACCAAAACTAGCCCATTTTAATTGCAGTTTAGTTTGACGGAATAACAAAAACAATATTGAGGTCATTTTTAAGTACCTGGTAAAAGAATCAGTGAAAGATTCAGTGAGGTCAACAAAGTCTTCTGCAGGTATACACGGTATGACTCACCATCTTGCCACACCCAAAAATCAGCTGAATGGCATACACAAATAATTGAAATGAACATATAAATGACAATTATTATAAATGATAATTATAAATGACAATTATGACAATTATTATAAATGATGAATGGGATTCATCATTTACTTATTGAAACTTTGAATTCGACAGATAGTTAGGATGTGACCTTGTCTGGAAAATAGAAAGCCTTACCTTTACTTAAGTTTCCATTGTGCTGAAATGACAGAACAGCGAGATCTGCATACTCACTGGGCAAACCTAAAAAATATTCATTACACCTTTTAAAATGAATGAGGAGGGAACTGAAATTAAAAGGTAATAATAAATCACAATTTAAACAATTTTATATATAGAAAATCTTGCAGTGTTTTCTTCAGTCTTTCCACTCAGTCAGGTCCTCCAGATGTTTATTAATTTAAAATCAACCAACAGGAAAATGCAAACATTTGTCTACTTATGTGGTCGCAAATTTCATTAAAATCTTATACAGTTTTCTTGCAATTTCTTATTAATTAGTGCTGACTTTTTTAAATTACAGAAGATGGAGCATTGCGATTACGAACACTTTGTATAGATCCAGTGTTTATAGGTGAATATCTATCCCCATCTACTGGCGGCTTAGTGTTGCTTCAGGTTGATTTCGGGATGATTTAAGGTGCGCAGCAAAATTCCACATCAGGTTAGTGCGCCGCAGCACATTTTCTCCATTCCGTTTGTTTCACAGACAGACGCGTTTGTGCTGAACAATGATTTATATAAAAAAGGGCCAATGTTTTCTTAGGCTTAATCCTTTATAAGGATAAAACTGGAAACTTTCCTAAAATAAAAACGGAATTAAAATTATCTGTACACACCTAAAAGGAAATGAAACTGAAGTAAAACTGAAAATCAAAATGAAATACTAATTAAAAATGAAAAACTAATGTAAATGTTGAAACTGTAATAACTCTGACCCAGAATAGTCTGCTAGAATGCCCTGGGTCCTGTTCCATGTTTGGAGAAATATGCTTAACTAGTCTTATCCTGTTTCCTGTATCTTGGAAATGGTGGTATAACTGTGTAACGTAACTGAGTAGCAGCATACACAAAATAAACAATAATGGGCACAGGACTGATACTTGTGAACATACTTGTGAACATACTTCCCGCCCCGGCAGTAGCCTGCTGTGAGGGGGTTTTTGTGGTTTTTCGACCTCCCAAGAGCAACTTCGATTTCGCCTTGTTTTTAGTTCATACTTGGTTCAGGCAGAACTTCTTCTGGTAAGTAGTAGTAAATTTATCAGGTTTAAAATTTAAAATAAAAATAATAATTAAGTTCCCTTTTAACACAAGTAATAACTTATTTTAATGTACTCGGCACTTTACTGCATTTATCGTTACGCAAATTAATCTTTATAGTTAAATACACTATATAAATTTACTGGGCTGGGAGTACGGGGTCATAGTCAGTTAGTTAATTATGGGACCGGCTCAGTGTTGCGTTTGCAAGATCTTTGCCCTTCTGGACGTTAGTGTCCAATCGGACTTCATCTGGGAGCGATGTAAGCTAGTG